TATATATAGATCTTATTAAAACATTTATAGCTAAAAAGATTACTAACTCTTCTTATATAGAAGAGTTAAAGAATTACTTTAAAGAATATAAAGATTCTNTAGGTTTAAAGGAAAGGCTTATAGAGCTAGACCTTTATAATCTAAATAGTATTAATATCTTTAGTTCTATTTATAATTCTAAAGATCTAGATTATAAAAAGGACTTATTAGATACTAGAACTAGTAATAACTTACTAAGTTCTAAAGAGATAAATAGTTTAGTTAATAGGTTTCTAGATTAGGTTATTAGAAATAGNATATATAGAGGGTTCTAGTTTAGTATAACTAGTTTTAAAGCTAAGGATATTAGTAAAGATAAAGTTATATTATATATAGACTAGATCTAGTTTAATAATCTAGTTTAGATATAGTAGCTAAGTCTAATTTACTAAAGTAGGATTAGGCTTTAATAAAATGTAATATACTAAGTAAAGCTATAATAGAATAGATACTAAACCTTAAATCCTAGAGTAGTCTTTAGTACTTTAGTTAAAGTATCTAGCTAAAGGTATATAAGTAGCTTACTAGCCCTCTTAAGCCTCACTCTTTTTATACTATCCTATTTACTTAACTCTTATTCTTACTAAAATGTCTTATTCTCTAGAGCCTAAGTCTACTTCTATTAAAGATAGTATTCTTACTTTAGAGTCTAATATAGACCCTACTATTTATAGTCTTATAAATAGTTTAAAAGTTCTAGAAAAAGGAAATTCTATAACTTTAAAAGGTTTAGAACTACTACTAGATCTTTTAAAAGTACTTTCTTTTAAAGCTAGCTTTAATACTTTTATTAAAGGTATATTATAAAGCTTATACTTAGTTAAAGGACTAAACTAATACTAATACTTAATAGATAAAACACTAGATATAGTAACTNTTAAGACTATACTATTTAAACTTAAAGATAGCTCTATTTCTAAGGATAATCTTATTAGATTAGAGCTAGAACTATTTAAAAAGGAACTATACTATTCTAAAGATAGTAAGTACTNTTAAGATTACTATATAGCTAAAGGAGTTTATACTAACCTATAATTAGTACTAGAAAGTCTATTAAACTAGATTTAATACTAAGTTAGAATCTTAAACCTATATAGGTTATAGTATTAGTATTAGATATATATTATAGCTAAGGGATATATATNATACTATTAGATATAAGTTTTTAATAGATAGTATTTAAAATAGAACTAGATTTAAAAAAACACTTAGTTAAACTAGACTTTTAGAAAAGATTAAGGTTAACTACTTATTCTAGCTACTAACTAGCTATAAAATAAGGCTTATAGTATAAGACTAAGTACTTTCTATATAGCTTTATTAGTTTTAGTAAGTATAGTACCTTAAGGTAGTAGTAGTAGTAGTAGTAGTAGTAGTAGAGAAATTTTATTATAAGGAAAAGAGAGTTTAAATTTCAAAAATCTAAATAAGAGTAGGATCTATATATTCGAACCCGGTAACTTCGGGATAGGAAATCTGCTCGTCGAAGTTAAAGAAGCTGTTTTCAAAAGTGTCAAAACCTTAAAATTAGCTTAGGTAATTTAAGAAAACTAAAAAGTAACTTACTTTCTTTAACTGGCATTTCAGTAGTAAGACCTTGCTCAAAAAAATCAAACAAGGGCTCATTTTGACGAGCAAAATGCCACGATTCCAAATCTTCAGTCGGGTTAAAGAATGGCTGAGAATTGGCGGAGATTTGGGCGCGTAAAGCTAAAATCTCGTCGGAAAAAGCCCGGATTTGCTCATTTTGCTCTAGGACCTTAGCCCTAAGGGCATGCAGCTCGAGGTTCTTATTNGGGGTACCCTTCTTACGTCCCCGATGAGGCTTAGCCTTAGGAGGGGAGGTAGGGCCCTTAGAAGGGGTAGGAGAGGTAGGNTTTCTATTAAAAAGTTAGTAAAAAGGGTTTTATAGTAAGAATAAGTATAAAATACCTTCTTTCTATAAGAACCATNACTTCCTGCCTAGGCTTAGGCTTCGAAATACGCGAGGACATACTTATAGTAAGGTAGTATAAGTAGNAAGAAGGTAAGTATAAAGTAATACTTAATAGTATAAAAAAAGAGTACTAGACCTAGCTTATATACCTATACTTTAGGCTATCTCTTATTATTACGGAATGAGGAGTACAGATAAACTTGCATATAGGTATAGATAGGAACTCTCCTATCTAGATATATAAGTTAAAGTAGCGAATAGAGACTTACTATAGAAGATAAGCCGAAACCCTAACGGATTTTAATAACTTTTAGTGATTTAGAATTAGCGAATTTAGGCAATTCTAAAGCCGTTTTAACATCTAGTATAGCTTATATATCTAGAAAGTTATTAAGGGTAGAAGAATTTTAGAAGTTTTCGAGTTCCTCGAATGATTCATAAAAATCCGGGGTAAAAACCTTATAACTAGGGTTACAACCACTATTATTTACAACCTTTAATAACTTATGCTATATAGTAGATATACTAGCTAGCTCTTCTATATACTATAGCTAATACTAAGCCTTAATAGATCCTTAAAAAAGATTCTATAAATTCTAATTTTCTATAGAGTTATTAAGGTTTCTATCTAAAGTTAGTATTTTTATATAGTATTTTTATAAAAATACCGTTTATTTAAATGTATGTACCGTTAAGCCTAGATACGCTAGCCTATATACGAAAACACTTCTTTTACTATTACCTCTTAACTTAATACTTATTATTACTACCTAAAACTCTAATAGACGACATTCTAACTCTCTACCGACTCTTTTTACCTCTTTATCCCTTTAAATACTACTTACTCTTTTACTAACCTTTACCTTCTCCTTCTTCTTTTCCCTTTATATCTTAATTAACTCTTTTCCCTTTATCTCTATCGCTAATAACGCTTCTCTCTTACTTAAACCTAAGATAAAACCCGGCCTACCCTTAGATATACTACCTTCCTCCTTACCTTTTAACTTACCCTTCTATATCCTCTAGATAAACCTTAATAATATCCTTTATACCTTTATATACTAATCTAACGTCGATACTATATATCTAATATATATCGGCCTTCCGCTATCCTTACTACTAAATTCTCTCCTATTTAATAATAATAGACACTATCTCTCTATATCTAGACTCCTAACGACTACTATTATATTCCTTACTAACCTGCTTATAAACGCCTTATATACCTTTAAAACCTTCTTACTATCCTCGCCGTCCTCTACCTCTCTATTATTAATACCCTTTAACTAAACCTTTATACTCTTACTCTTTATACCCCTTAATATATCCTTCTAACCTAATATCTTTAACTAATTATCTATATCTACTCTTCTAATCTCTTTATCTACCCGACCTTCCTTTAATATTTTCTAGTTCTTATTCTTCTTCTCTAATATTAACCTTTCTAACCTTCCGCTCTATCTTTCTTTAACCTTCTTCTCTTCTTCCTTTTCTTCTTCTTCTTCCTCTTCTTTCTTTTCTTTCCTATCTTTCCCTTCTACTTTACTCCTTACCTTAAATCCTATATTCTAACTACTTAACTTAAAAAACTTCTAGAATTTTATACCTCCCCTCTAAAATCTCTCTTTTATTATATCCTTCTTTATCCTTCCTTTCTTTACGCTATTTACCTAACTATATACCTTCTTTCCGTGCTCTTTTATTATACGCTTACTTCTACTAATATAACTATATACCCTTACTACTTTATCTCCTCTACTTACTTCCTAATAATAAATATACCTATCTAAAAAAACCTCTAACCCTTCGATACTTAGACTCTCTTTCCCTAGATACCTTACATCTCCTATACGTATAGCTAACCCCTCTAACCCTATTATCTATTATTTGATCTTCTCGATCCTCTTTCTCTTTATACCTACATGTTTTTTCCCGTCCCTAAAATAACCCTTTACTACGCTAGGCGCGACGTAATAACTATATAATATATATAACACTACGCTAAACTCCCTCTAAAACCTTAACTCTCTATTCTCCTTTACTGCTACTAGCCTACCGCTCTTTACCCTCCCGACCTCTCTTTTATTTATATTTCCTTATATTCTTCTTTTCGATCTTTTCTTTTCTGTATCTTACGTATCGAGAACGAATAGATACTACCCCCTTATTTCTAAAAATAGATAAACGGATCCGCTCGTCGCCCGCCCCTATATATAATATACCTCTATCCCTATACTCGCGTATCCGGACTTCCCCCCTAAACTACCTAAAATTACTATACTTTCCGACCTACGTCGGACGGCGACTATACAAGATGTAGAAAATCTAAAAGAGGCCATTTTTTTTGTAGCGGCGCGATTAATAATATATATTGTCTTAGGGCTCGAGAAATTATAACGGTCTAAAAGAATCCTACCCTCCCCTTCCCTAAATAGATCGTGCCCCCCCCGGCTCCTACTACTTAGTAAAAATTAAATGGATCCTAGTAGGATCCTATTATCTCTACGGGGTTAGGTTAAGGGTATAACCTATCTATAATCTAATAAGCACTCTAGCTAGTATAAAACTCTCTATCGGCTTACCTCTAAATTAGTATAACTCTTATACTAATTAGTTATCTTTACGTATTACTTACATTATTTATAACTCTTATTAGCTGCGATACACTTAGCGCTCGATTCTTCCTCCTCTAGCCCTAACTTTATAACTCGTTCTTCCCTCGTACGATCTTCGACTCGACGAGTCGTATCGCCCTTACGTTTAGGCGGCATTCCCTAAACTTCTATCTACCTTACATTTAAATCTATACCTCTCCTTAGCTCGGTAAAGTTATTTCGCGTTAACCTAGGCCTAGCTAGTTCTAATTATACGCTAGAGCTCCGTTAGTACTCGCTCGACCTAGTAGATTCTACTCGCGCCGTAAAGCTCTATCTCTACCTATATAACTCTTTCTTACATCTACTTAACTAAGCTTTATAAGGAGATAATCTAGCTAGTCCCGAGTTATATAGTCCTACTCCGTCGGTAGGTATTAGCCTAGCTAGTCCTAACTACGCGGTAGAGCTCTACCTTAATCGCTCTATAATCTATCTTTCTCTTTAGCTCGACTAAAACGCGACAGTCTCGGACACGCGACTTAAGTTAAGGCTACTTAATAAGATTAACCTTAAAGCTTAAGTAGAAGGGTACCGCACTCGCTATTATAATCGCCGTATAGGGTAACAGTAATGTTTTTTATATAAATCTTCTCTCTTTACTAAGACTCCTTTTCCTCCGACTCTCCCTAGAGCTAACCTACTTTACTAATAAAGGTTTCCTCTCTTCGACCTCCCTACTTACTACCGCCGCTACTAATATAAATTCTACTACGACTAAGCTTAGGCTTAATAGTACGACAGATAAGCTCCCTCTAGTACTTTACGATCGCTTTACCTAGATTATCGCCGGAAACTAGGTCGGTATTAGTTAGCGCTAGTCTTAGCCTAATACGAAGACGTATAGCGACGACGACTACGACGACTATAATTATAACTACTAATAACACCTAAGGAATCCTTTACCGGTTAACGCTTACGACTACCTACTAAATATTTAGCTAGGCGTGTCTAAGACTAGTAAAGAGCTCCTAGTGCTCTTAACACTGTCGGTCTAGCTTAGAAAGAGAGGTAGTAAAGCCTAGCGTATGTTTCTGCTAGTCCTAGTTAAGTCGCTCGCCTTAGGAGATTCGGTTACCGACTTCTAGCCACTTACCCTCGATTAGGTCCCTAAAAGTCTGTTCGAACGGCTATACGATGTACGCTCTACTTACTATAACGGCTTCCTATATATTAGTCTCGCTCTTAACCTAGCGCGTAAGTCTATAGTCGTTATGCCTTCTCGAGTCTACGTCGGTCGAGCCGGTAGCACTACCTCGTCTATCCTAGACCGCTTTAAGTCGCTCTTAGAGTCTCTAAGTTTTAATATCTTCCTTAAATTTAACTCGTACGCCTAGCAAAAACTGTCGAGCTTATATAGCACTATAACAGATAAGAATGGCCGCCTTGTCTCTTATACTACTCCTGTCCTCGATATATAAGGTATATATCCCGGTGGCAGCGATGGTGCCTTCGACCTATAAGAGGCTTAAGGTTAGGTCCGGTTAGACAAATCGCGTAAACGAAGAGCGTCGGATTATATGGAGACTCCTCCCCGATACCTCCCTCATTAATCCGCAATTGACCCTCTAAGTTACGACGACCGTAACGCCGTTCCATTAATCACGACGATCTAACTAACTCACTCTCACGATAAGCTAGTGCTTCCCGCTGCATCTCGTTAAGTCTTCCTGCCTCTTACCCTTGAACCGCTCAACCGGCCACCACAAGAGTGCAAGGACCACGCAAAACCAAGTGCGACGACGGTCTCGCCTGCCCCGACGACAGTCTCGCCTGCTCCATCAGCCTCGCCTGCCCCAGTTAATGGCTCCGTGGCACCAGCGACGATTGCGCTGCCTACTGCCGCTCAGTCTACAGCTGTGGCCGTACCTGTCTCTTCCTCCATTGCTCTCGCGGTATCACAGCCCGTTGTTGTACCTGTTGTCCAAGAGGTAAACTCGCTGCCCACGCTTATCCCCTCATGTCCCGCGTCTGTCCCAGTGCTACCAAGCATACGGTTCTTCGGAGAAATGTCCGAATGGCTCCTACGTGCGTGGGAGGTTTGCCCTCTGGCTCACTATCGATGCATTGCACATCTTGTTGCTCTTGCCGCTCATGCAAAGGTTGAGAATACTGAGCACTACGATAGACTCCGTGCTGCTTGTACGCATCGCCTTGTGTCTTTAATTACCAGAAATAGTCCACCTAGCACCTCTCCGATAGACGGCCCGTCTGCTCCTGCGCGGACCCATGAGATTCGTGATTTGATCTCTTGGATGTTGCTAGTCAACCCTAGTGCTGATGTTGACCTGTTCCAGTCTCTAGGAAATCTTCAGAACGCATTACAGTGCTTGAACGCTGCCCCTGCTGCTCTCGCAGCGTCCGGCGAATATGACAGGCGTCGCAGTGATTTCTTGGGTATGAAAGCAGAAATCGTTCTCCAAGTTTGTTTCAGGTATGGTTTACACCTCCTTAGACAAAGGAAACACAAGATGGTCGCGCGGGTTATGCTTGAGCAGTCAAAAGCTCTTCTGATGCGACAGTAAGACGAAAAATTCCACACCTTTTATCTTCTATTCTTTGCGACTCGTTCCTTGTTACTTTACAGTCCGTTCGTTTCCAACAGTGATCGTATGCAACATTAGAAGCCTCTGACTTAGTATCTTTTGACGTTGGTATAGTATTCTATACCCCGCTAGTCTTGCGAGGATTGTATGGTGAGTCTCCATCGCAGCGCCGATTCTAGGCGTTTTGATGTTCGATCAATCTGCTTGTAGATGACGCACTCTAAATGTCCTTTGGAAATTGGCTCGCTATAGGTCTGTCTCTCTAGTCTAATTTGATCATCCAGCAACAACAGATGATATGCTTAAGATGTAGATATATACGCTACAGTTAGCTCGAATAGACTTAATGTAGCTATATCTGCTCAGTCAGATAATTTGATTGATTGATTGATTCGGGGTTTTTACTTGGCCTCGTAGGAGTCCACTCTTTCGTGTTGGAGGAATCTGCAACTAACGATATCGCTTACTGAGCCGGACGTGGAAAATTCTGGGTAGAACGGAGAGCCCGACTTCCGACGGTTCCTTCAACTCCTGTCCGGACCGTCGGTTGATGGCGCAATGATCCCCAGCAAAAGGTCTGTGGCGCAGCTGTATGTCGTCGGGAGCACTCACGATCGTTCTCTCTGATTGCGACTATGTCTGCTTACCATCGTGCTGATGAGTGATTACGAAGCTCAGTCGCGAAGACGTACGCCAAGGTAGAGGGTCTCGTCTATTGAGTTGCGACACAAATAGCCAATATCTGCGACGATCAGTCCAGTATATCCTTCATCCTTCGACTTTCTCAGTACAAGCAACAACACGACTCTCGTGCGGAAATGACTCCGACTATTCTCGTCGTCGGTGCTACTGGCAACACTGGCAGGAAAGTCGTCGAGACTCTCCCCTCTCTGCCCAAGAGCTCCCAGTCTCTGTCAGGCCATCGTATCCTCTGCCTCACCCGCTCAGCTCAAAGCGATGCTGTACAGAAACCAGCCAAAATACCTGGCACCAAATTGGTAGAGCAAAACTGGGTCAATGTCATTGCAGCTTGGCTCAAAGAGCACAATGTTGAGAGAGTATTCATGGCTTCCCAAACTTCCCTGTTCAATTTGCCGAGGAGAGCCAGTTCTACGTCAACTGTCTTCGCGCTGGCGTCAAGTACGTCGTACGTATATCGACCACCGCGAACGCCGTTCGCTCGGATTCGATTGCGTATTATCAACGTGCTCACTGGGATATCGAGTCTCTGTCGAGCTCGCCTCCGTACGACAAGCTAAGATGGACTTCCCTACAACCTCACATCTTCTTACCCATAAGTCTTGCACCAGCGGCAGAGTTCATCAAGGAGTATCGCAAGACCGGCCAGCAACAAAAGCTCTCTCTGTTCGTGGATGAAAACACGCCTGCTGATCTAATTGATCCAGATGATGTGGGACGTGCGGCAGTCCATCTGATCGCTTCTGACGACTTTTCGTCTTACGATCACAAAAGGCTTGTACTCAATGGACCCGAGGAGATCACCGGATCGCAGATCGTGGAGCTCGTCGGAAAGCACATTGGTGCAAAAGTGAAGGAAGTCGTGTGGAATGACTCTTCTCTCATCGAACAGATGGCTGAACAGAGTCCGGAGAACAAGAACATCATTCTGGATGTCAAGAATGCTGCTCAAGAATACTGGGATTCGGGTATTAAGGATGCTCCGACTAGCAGGGAGATCTTGGACTTGTGTCCGCCCAAACGTACGGCTACTGATCCTTTAGAAGAATTGCTCAAGCGATAGAGAACTCTTGTGGAGGAGTGTATGGTTCAATGACGTTCACACGGACGAGACAGAAACATGTTTCAAGTCTTCGTGGCGCTTTACTGCTGACAAGGCAAGGGAACGGGAGTCTTGCAAGACCGCAGGGGCTCAGAGAGTCAATAACTCGTTCATATGGCCGTGTGGTCTGGTTTCGGAGTACGGCAGTTGCGAGCGAGGAAGCTAATGTATGAGAGAACCTGCAGATAAATTGTACATACAATTGACTTTGCTCACCAAGCCACTTTGGGCAGCCTCACGTTTGATACCTCTACCTAGCAAGCAAGGTTCTTGACTGGGAATGGGTGTGGAGAATACGAGGGGACATTATCTTGATAGAACCAAGGAGTTTGAACAAAGCGAATAGGGTGAGAAGGTGATGTGGTCAAATTTGACGCCATGTTTACCAAAAGCAAGTGAGATTATCTCTTCCGTGAGAAGACGGAATCCTCCTTCCGAACGGAGAAATATGCAGGAACGAGCATGCTGAACATGACAATTTACCTACCATGAGATCTGCTTGGTGTCAGGTCCCTAGCGTTGAACATAACAGTTGGTGTCTGTGCTTTGCGTTTCGGCGACCTGAAGGATCGAAATGCTCTGACACACATTTTCGCCTCGCATATCAAGCGCTTCTTAGTATCCTAGTAGAAACAAGAGGCATGAGCCAAGCAGATTTCATAGGTGGGATAATCAGATGCGATGCCGTATATGCGCTAGGGGACACCATTCATCCTTTTACAACACATAATATAGTAGTTGTCCGAGCTCTTCTCACACACTATGGGATGCTGTATAAGCCGGCCTGCGATCTACCCATTTATGCCGTATTGCAGGCCCATCTAGATCCGAGTGATTTATCGTTTAGCCTGAATCGATCAATTAATCTATCTCGGCTGCGGATCCATCTCCGACTGCTGCCTGGAACTCGATTCTTGGATACTCAAGGAAGTCCATCCCTTTCAGTTGCAATTGTGCGTTTTACGACATCTATAGTGGAAGGTATTCGGTCACAAAGATCGAAGTTCTATATCTGCCAACTTGCCCTACCATCTGCTCATACAGAGAACAGAGTCCAGGGGAAACATCTTGATCTCACCAGCCATTAGAATCCTTCTTGGAATCCTTCTTGGATTTTATATTGCTGAATAAAGTGGAAACCGGATTGATTCAAAGGGCTTGCACACGTGTGTCCCTGATCGTCCAGTTACCCTGGTGTTCGTGCTCATCCTTCTATACATTCTATGTTTAGCCCATTCACTTATATGAAAGCTGCATATATCACCGTATCACGCTCCTCTAAGCGATATGAGTTGTTGGAGAATAATCTAGATAGAGGCCTTGGCTTATGTTCTTGTCTCCATCACCTAGGTGCTCGCCTGGATCCTTCTTGCTGTAAAGTGCCCAGACCTACGCAGACCTGCCCGCCCTATATCCAGATCTGGGCAGAAGTTACACTTGACCTTTCCGTACCGCAGCCAGGCAGAGCCAGTTGTACGAAGGAATGCATGGAAGGAGCGCCAAGAGCTGCCGACCTCCACCATTGTATCTAGCGAATGGGGCATTGCTGTGAGGATTGTGATGGAGCGACAGCAACAAGGGGTATAAAAACACACCGTCCCCTCTGCACGAGAAGAATTTCGAACGGAATCAGAACGACATCATCAGCCATTGTTTTCTTTGTCAACTTCAAAGCAAACACCACACTTCCATCCCCTTGGTATCTTCCCACCACTCTTCTTTACAACTTCACAATCTCTCGAACCCACTCCCCAGACATTATCACAGTACTGATATCTTCATGTACAGCCAAGTCTATTCACCATGCACGCTACTTCACTCATCATCTCCACCAGCCTCGCCTTGGCCCTGACACCTGCCGGCGTTCTCGGCTGGGCTCAAGCTGCCAATGGAGTCTGGGTTGCTAGCAATACATGGTACGGTCGGGTTGGGAACTGTAAGTCCGCTACGAATACTAGCTTTTGCCCTCCAGAGATTCGTATACTGTTATACTAACCAATTCCTTACCGTCAGACAACAACGTCCACGAGTCTTGCACCAGAATGAACAGTCAAACTGTTCTGACCAGTGGCGAGTGCGCTTACTGGACAGACGGCAATGGCAACATGGGCCACGGAAGTAAGTTTTGGTTTTCCTCGATCCGACGTGCATTCATCCTTGTGCGGGCATGGCTGACCACTTCCCGTAGACTGTTACGCTCATGACGACAAAGTTGGTTGTGAATCATGCAATGAGGATGGCCGTGCTAAATGTCTTGTGGGTTGCCAGATCACCTGTGCCTTTGTTGGAGGAGCGAGTTCGGTAGCATCATGCATCAACCGATGCCGTAAGCTTCACCATTCTATTTGTCTACACATCTTGAGTTCTGACTTTTCTAGGTGGTTTGTGCAGAGATCAAAACTTCTGCACCGATGGGTAGAAGTATAAAGGCGAGTTTAGGGCTATACAGGAGATGGGGAAACTGCTGTTGAAGTAGGATGAATGCATAGCTAGCTGCGGATCAGATTGAGATGTCGACTTTCGGATCTCCTAGTGTTAATGATTTATTGATTGATTGATTGATTCAACTGATCAGTCTACTTGGTTCTACGGCAAACCTATAGGCCGTCTCCTATTGGTTCTTGCTTCTTCGTCCCTATCTGTCCTTGTTCCATTCTAGCTTCCCCTTACTCGACAGCTCTCGTCTGCCACGCAAACCTGCCGGACTTGTGAAGGAAGTGGAGGACTGCCTTCGCCGCCGGGAGATTCGCCTTCCATTTTTCCTTCGGCCCGTCCACTGGTTGCCCAGTTCTCAGGTCTTCCCAGGGATTCTAACCCCCGAATATGTAAGAATACCTGTCTTAAAGCTTTAAGTGACTTGCTTAAGTTTAAAGCAACCGAACGACGTCTTCGGTGTGCAGGCCATATCTTCAACCTTGTTGCACACAGCATTCTCTTTGGCACAGATAACGCTAACCTTAAGCCAATTGGTGATGCCATTTATGACGACGATATTCTCTATCTCGAACTTGCTAAATGCCGTGCAAAAGGCCCGATTAGAAAGCTTCACAACCTTATGCTATGGATCCGTCGCTCAGCATTACACCGGGAGTGTCTTCAAGAGAAACAGAAAGAGCTAGGGTTCAAGGACAAGAAGCAGCTGATACAGGACAATTCAACACGCTGGAACTCAACTTACTAGTCTTTACAACGTGCAGTTGAGCTTCGACAGCCTGTTGAGGCTATACTTGACGATGAGATGTCTATATGGCAGTTGAACTGTCGGAAGGCTGCAGATAATGGCAAAGAGCTACCTCCTCAACCCTCTCACCTTGTCGATTACCTATCTCAACATGACTGGTCCACCATTACAGATCTCCTCTTGGTTCTAAAACCTCTTGAACAAGCTACTAAGCTGTTACAGGGCCATGGAATTGGCGCTAGCCACGGATCCATCTGGCAGGTCATACCTTTCATGGAAAAGTTACTTACTCACTTTGAAGACATCCGTGAGAAATACAACCTTCCGCCTCCAGACGATGACGTTCAGGTCACTCTTGAAGACACTCAGAATACCCAGAATTCTATAGCAAGAGGTAGCTCAAAATGACGACCAGCCCGTGGCAAGGCAGCACCTCATCCGACACCTGTCTTCAACGCTAGCAGCTCTCAGGAACACCGGCTACTCTGCACTAATGTCAATGCTGGATGGGCCAAGCTGAATAAGTACTATGCCTTAACAGATATGTCATCCTCCTACGTTGCGGCTGTTGTTCTACACCCTGCATATACCTGGAGGTGGCTCAAGAACAAGTGTGCATCAAAGCCAGCGTGGATTAGAGATGCTGAGCGAAGAGTCGAATACCTTTGGGCAGATTACTCATGTCTTAATGTCAACTTAAGGTCGCCAGTTGCTGCAACTACTGCTCGCCAGCCGCCTCGTGTAGTTGAAAAAGACTGCATATTCGACATTAGCGACGACGAGGGAGCTCTAGATGCCTCTGAAGACGAGTATCTAGTATGGTGTCAACAGCCTCGCAATTCACTTGTCACTCAACCTCTTAGCTTTTGGACAACAGAGGTAACTCGACGTCAATACCCTCGTCTATCGCGAATGGCAATTGACCTCTTTACTATACCTGCTATGTCTGATGGACCAGAGAGGACGTTTAGCAGTTGTTCCCTGATGATTACCTCACATAGAGGAAGCCTTGAATCTGATGTAGTTGAATACACCCAATGCACTAAGAATGGGTCAAGGAACGGTGTTATATCACCTCAAGTCCTTATAGGAAGAAGGGACGGAGACATAGACGACGAAGAGACTATTCATATTGACTGAATTACATGGTTTTCCCTGTCTATACACCTCCAAAACTGACACCATTTGGGTACCCCTTTTGCTACTACTCCATGGAGTCCATGGAGTAAGGCCCCACTCTACTCCACTCCACTCCAATTGGTATAGAGTGGAGTGGAGAAGGGGCTCACTCCACTCCACTCCACCTATTGAGGGCACTGCTTGTCTTTAAGCTTTCGTAGCGATCGGTCCCCTTTATGATTGCTTGTGCTTTACGAGTCCCTTAGATCGCTTGTAGCTCTAGCTTGCCAAGCCGGTGGAAGCAGTACCATCGAGTAAGCACGCTTTCCGTCTCGCCCTGACTCGCCCTAACTCGCCCTAACTCCTGAGCAAAGACGATTAACGACTCTGGCTCGTCTACGTTCATCACAAGCCGGACGAGTGGATGATTAAACCCTTCGGCGAGCGCGGTAGTGGCAACGATGTAAGGCGTGTCTAGAGTCTGGACCCATCGATCGAGTATCTCCTTTCTCTCTGCCGGCGACCCACTCTCTTCTATGTACGCATCGCAATCGAGCAAATCCGTAAGGTCGTCTGCATCCTTACGCGTCCGAACGTACAAGATGATTTTGTCGCGAGCGTAGTCGAAGAGACCTGACTCTGTCTATGCATCTGTGGCTTCGATCACAGCCTGCTTAATAAGGCTTCCTCTACGGGTGTCGGCTTCGCGTACCATGTAGAAGATGTTCGGTCGGTTGCTAGATGCTCTGATCACTGTCGGCCGATGTAGGTAGTTCCTCTCCTCGAACTCTGCTCGTATGCACGGTGGAAGAGTAGCCGTCAGGTAGATAAACTGAGTTCTTAAGCTCCGGATCGCTGTAAGCTCGGCTATACTAGATCGATACTCGGCCGCAGTTACAGTCAGGTGGCACTCATCGACCACGATCCGATCGAGCTTCTGCTCTCTTACCAGCCTACTAGCATACTTCATAAAGTCCTTCGACGAAGCGGCCTCGGCGCTGACTAGTACTAGTGCTGCCTCCTAACTCTCGCCTAGCTGCCACTCGAGGTGATCTATCTTCATCTCCTATACGCGTCGCAGCATGTCTATGTGAAGTGTAACGAGCGGCACGATAAGTATCGTTGTCCTAGCGCCAGGCAGGGTACATAGAAGCATGAAAAGCAAGCTCTCTCTAGCACCTGTCGGAAGGATGGCCACAACCTGCTCAGTCCAAGAAATGATCTTAGTAAGAGCTTACTCCTACTCGGTAGATTTCCAGCCTACGTCCTTGTCGCTGTACAGCTTCTTTACGCCTCTAAGGAGAGCTTCGGTCGACTAAGGCTTACGAGGACGGTAGATGCCTATAGCGACCCGCTTCATCAAGCGAGACTCTTGCTCGACTCTGCCGCGTTTCTTCTGTTTGAGAATCGTTTCTACGCCTAAGAAGTCCTGCTATAACGTCGAAGCCTGGAGTCCTATGCGTACCTTCCCGTCCTATAGGTTACTAAAGATTGCTCCTGTCTGATCGGCGTATGCTCGGTTGACTGTCCTTATCTTATGGTTCCGCTGCTCTGTTATGCCTCGGATCGTTACATCCATTTCCTCTGCATCTTCGTTACCTTCGTCGGGATTAAAGCACTCGATTTGGCTAGCGAACTTTGTCTTCACGATGGCCACCGAGATTTGTCTCCAGTTAGCAACGTGAAGGCGTGGCACACACGCCCGAGCGCATGCTTCTTCCAGGTAGCGACTAAGACGACCTTCTAGCTATACCTTCCTATCCTTCTCCTAAAGGTACGGGGAAAGCAATGATCCTGGCGAGGTCTGCCGTAGGAACCTCTCCCGTAGCGGCAGCACGTAGACGATGTAGTCGAGTAATAACTCCGCAATTAGCTGAGCAAGGAAGCGGACATTGTCCTTATAGTTTCCTGTTTGCTGCTGGCCCTTATGGTACTAGACATAGACCATTATACGGTCGAAGCGAATGATGATCGAGCGTCGCCGCTGTGTGTTACGATATGTCATAGAGAAGAACTCGCTCTCACGAATAGGCTGTCCACCACTGATGTGTATAAGGACGCTTAGTCGCTTAAGAAACTCTTATACTGTAGCTTCGTAACTAGCCATCGCGCTCTCCCTCTATGCCCATCCGGCGGACGACTGATTGTCCTAAACGAGGAAGATTCGACACAGTTGTTCGGACCGTTCGATAGCTTTCGTCAAAGCACGTTATTTGCCATCGAGGGTGGTCGCGTTATCCCTATGCTGGGTGAAGTTCCAGTGGACAGTATCAACATTGACACCATCTTTGAGGAAGTGAGGGCTCATTCGGCGAAGGTCCTTGTGACCTAGCATTAGATCGTCGTAGAGAAGCTGACAGCTCTGATCTTGTATATACAGATAAGCCTATCTGGCTCCAAGACCTGCTACGAAAGAGGACCTTCTCACTTGCTGCAGACTCATCAAGAAACAAGATCATGTCAGCAGGGTCAACATCAACTTCCCGACCTCGAGCCATTAGATCACGGAGTTCCTCGAGGTATACACCTTGTTGGGAGGTCGATTGCCGAGCTGCGATGCGGGTATTGACCTTGTTCGATAGCTCTTCCTCAGCTAGCGGTCTAGAGACAGTTGACTTATGGACCACAACATCGAATTGACATTACAATTCGAACACCACCTCCTCCTGCCAAAGGTCGTTCCTATGGGAGAGTAGTTCCATAACATACTCGCGCATAACAGGTGTTATCTTCCGTGGAGCACCACGTCGCTTGACTGCTGAAGAAGGCTTCCGAACCTGGCCGAAGAGACCAATATTCTGCTCCATACGAGCGACCGTCCTGCGAGCTGCATGGGGCACTACTTTGAGTACTGTATTAACATCGCAGTCGTCGCGAAACATGGCCTCGATAAGATCCTTGTCATGTTCGTTGAGTGGCATTTTATAACTTGTTTTGGTGGCTATATTACGTGCCGGAATTAGCTCTGTGTTCGCTCAAGAATCGTTGCATACAGGAGGACGACTACCTATAGCTATTACACTATGTTACTGGCGATGAGAGCTATATAGAATGCGTAGCCTTCTTGAGGTGCAGTAGCCATGCCTACTTATGCGACTCAGGATCCATCTCGTCAACCCAAGGCGCTAGATCTCGATGTCGCCGAAGCCATTGTTTTAAGAGGTGGAAGGTCTGTTCTATAGGATTCAGATGTGGTGCATACGGCGGCAGGTAGAGCAGGTGTACGCCGAATTGCTCTCCTAGCTGCGTGATCTATTAGCGGTTAATTTGCTACTGGATTTTCACCAAAATTTAACACGTACCTTATCTGAGTAGTGGGTTGAGCAATTGTCCATGATGACTATCGATCTTCTTCCTGGATATGGCTCGCACTGAGGTAGTACAACTGCCTCTAGCCAATGCTCGTATATAGCCTGTGTGACAGCGCCCTCGACAACTAGCGTTGCACCAGGTAGGTACCCGCTGAAATCTAGCGCTGGTAGCACTGAACACTGAACCTTTGACACTAGTTCTGACCTTGTATAGGCAGGTAGGCCAATTGCTGACCATGAGCGACGACGGAACATCGCATTCTCAGAGGCTGTAGACTCATCAAGATACAGCAGCATTTCTATAGGGTCAATGTTGACTTCGTGGCCTCGAGCCATCAGCTCAGCTAACGTCTCCTCGTATGCGCCTTGCTGAGCAGCGGATTGACGACTTGCAATACGCGTATTGACCTTGCTCGAGAGGCTCTCTTCCCTCATCATACGACTAACAGTCAGTTGAGAGACCTCAATGTCAAATTCACACCACAATCCAAACGCTAGTTCTTCTAGCCGAAGGTCGTTCCTATGAGCAAGCAGTTCCATGGCATATACACGCATCTCTGGCGTGATCTTGCGTGGGGCTCCCATACGCTTGAGCGCAGAAGGCTTCCGAACTTGACCAAAGGCAACAACATTTTATCGCATACGGAAGAGGGTAGGTCGAGGAGCTTGGGGAACTAGTTTATGGACAGTATTGACGTCGCAGTTGTCGCGAAACATGGCCTGTATGAGGTCCTTGTCGTAGTCGTTGAGCGGCATGTTTTGACATTTATATCAAAGCTCAGATGAAGGCTAATGGATGTGTCAATACTGCTGAAGAGCTAGCAGTAGATAGAGCACAGTCACCTTGAGCCAAACCACCGATATTGTGACGAAAGCAGCTATATAGAGCGTGAAACAGTAGGAATAGTAGTTGAATTAGCTACTCGATACATCAAGTTCGAATTTGGGGGTGGCGAATTATCACGACTTCTGAAAGCGAGAATAGCGCCTTTCGCCTTCGGTCCGACCGTGGCGCTCAACGGCGAGTTCTGAACTTCACACAATCTCCATGACCAGGCTGTTGAATACGCAGACCTAGTTTGTTCAGTATCTGTTCAAAATCAATATGAACCCCTTTGTTTTGGAGAAACGCATTTTGCTAACGAGGCAGCATTATGAGTAAGCAGAATGGATGGGAATCGTGTGATGTCAGACTCGCTCTCATTCGCGTCCAAGACTCCGTTTTATCCACGTCGTTCCGGTCCAGATCGGCAGGGTTCTCTCACGTGTCTCAAACATTTCTGGCTGGGCGTTACATCTTAGCTTAGGCGCAGTAGATAGCCCAACACAGGGAATGGTAGGTTGTTTGTGTGTTGTTGTGCATCATAATGAACAACTTCAAGGGCTTCATGACAGTGCTCGGGTGTCGGGTTTAGCTTCTGTTATTCTTGCGGCTAAATGATCTTTATCCGAGCGGAGTTCGATCCCTGCAATGACGGGATTATGAAGTTGGATCGTAAGATACGCCACATCGATCACAATGAGATATGATGGGTCACTTTGAGATCTCGAGATCGAGCATATTAGCCAACGTCCAACCTCGGCATGTCCCGAAACGGCTTTTTGAGATGGCATTTTCCCTTGCCCATGTTTCATATGAACTCTAGACTTTGCCACCGTCATCCTTCTAGCCCTTTTGCTCTCCTATCGGTATACGCGCAGATTTGATTTACCAACCACAGAAAATACCTGCGAAAGATGCAGCAATACAAGTCTACGCAACAAGAATCCGGTTGGAGTCCCACTAACGACATGGTACCCACAGTGCGTGATCTGGGTTATCGGCGGATTAAGTTGCTAATGCACAACGACAGACATATGGTAGAGCGACGGACTATCGATCTTCCTCTGGCCTTAGTGATACAAACAATAGAGAAGACGCAAAAAGAGAAGAGCAATCGTCAACCAACACAGTCGCACCGTCTTGGTTTTACGACGGGCTTTATTCACCCAGCGGCTTCAATATTATAGACATACTCGTGAGTTGATGAGTAATTTCGTTTGTTCCATGCCCTCACTGCATCCATCTGACGCATACAGATTCGAGTCCAGAGGCGCCAGAATCCCCAGATAGAGCTTGGTGTGCTCGACGCCAACGTTGCACTTCTCCTTTGTGATACTTCACTTCCCGACCTGCCAATCGTCTACTGTTCCGACGGCTTCGAAGATTTGACCGGCTATATGCGTACCGAGATTATCGGCCGCAACTGTCGCTTTCTACAGACACCTCCCCAGGCGTCATCACATAACCACTACCGTACATCATCAGGTCAACTTGCTCAACCTCCAGTTCGACGTCCTCAAGACCAGCAGAATTTGGCGCATTTCAAGCAAATCATCATGGACAGAAAGGAGGTTCAAATGGTTGTTACAAATTACACAAAGTACGGCATGGTGTTTCCAAACATGATTACAGTCATACCTATCGACCTGGGTGAGGGAGCGTCACCCGCCGAGCTTCCAAGATATCTAGTCGGATTCCAGGTCAACGCGAGGAGTCTTGTTCAATATCACCATAGTTGACAAAGAACTCTTACGGAATCAGATTACCGACCAAACGACAAGACGTTGACTCGCATCAAAGACACCTTGCCACGTGTGCACACAACAGGCAGAAGGACATAGCAGTCGGTGAAGACCACCACAGCCCCATTGGAGTCTGACATAGCTCCTTCTCACGATTGACGCAGGGAGGATTATCCTAGCATGTCATGGAGACATGGTCAGTCATCGCAAGCACCGACTCACAGGATAGCGCTGGTAGTAAACCTCTGGACTACTACTTTCAAACCAGCTTAGTACGATCAGAAGCACCGATTAAGCAGACTTGTCCAAGAAGGAGAGGGGAAACATTGTGCAGTTCGAATCGACGTCTTTGAAAGTGACGCATCTTGATCGAAAGTGGATCAGCATATTAGGTACACCACGGCGTTGGTGAGCGGGATTGGTATGACTATCTTGTTGCGACACTTCGGCGAGCGCGATTTGGCACACACAGTATCTGAAGTACTTTTTGAGATAGGCTTATACGATGTCATCTAGTCTTCCTGCGATCTCGAGCCTGACAAGACGGCGTCTTGCGCTTGCATACTATATATATGTGTATATTTATGGTACCATGTCACACATTCGGAGCAATTGGGCGCTTTTTGGACAGGTCGAGGTTTGCTGTGGCCTGCAAAACGCGGGCGCGTTCCCAGCCGAAACGACTCTTCCCTCTTTTTCAACTCCGTCATGATCCTCTCCTTCTTACAATCTCATCAATCACAAATATACAGCAAGCAGTCTGTTTTAACACCCCGCTGGTGGTCTTGTCAATCGAGATGGCAATCTCACATGCGCCTAAGACCTTCTTCGTAGAGCCCGGGATATGTCGCTAATCCCAAGGAAGGACTGCTTAACCTCACGAGCGGCAGTTTCTTTGATATTGGAAAATGTCTGTGATTCAGCAGATGACTGAATATCGGTCTGGACTGTCAAATTGGACTGGGCATCTTCGTCCCTGTCCAGCGCGTTGACTTGCTCGTGAGAAACGTGCTTTTCGCATCTGAGCAGAGGCCCAAGAGAGCTATAACCTGAATCATGGGATTCAGTGAACGCATTACTCATTTCATCTTCTGCGAGCTGATCGAAGCGCCAGTTCAGCAAGATTTGCAAAATTGTCTCATGGCCTCCTCTAGAGGCTGCCTCAAGTGCATTGCCGTACTTTCCACCTTCGGAGTTGCTATCAACACCTTTGTTGAGTAGCATCTACACGATCTTGTCGTGACCTTTGGATGAAGCCATTTGGAGTGCGCTGCTATAGGACTCCCGTCGGATATTAACATGGATCGCTCAACCAGTTGACAAAACTTCCAGAATTTTCTGCATCTCGAACTCAAGCCAATATCGTCATCTGTTACAATTCGAACCTATTCCTTGTCGGTATTGCTCCCGAAATATGTCTTCAGTACTAACCATTTCCAAATAAGATACAGTCTCTGGACTGTTGAACTCCTATCTCTGAGCAAGCTATGTCACATTCCATGGGAGTTAATGCAGAACTAAATGTTTTTCCTCCCATCAAGCTTGGGTCGTCGGACCCAAAGCGACCCACATGAATGCGTCCATGCGATCCTTCAAGTAAGCTTTCATGCAGCTAAAACCAGCGCGTCTTACGACAGCGTTTTGATTCGCTCAATCTATAAAGTTGATCATGCGCCTGAGATGAATCGGTACTCAATTCAGCTGAAGTTATGTAAAGATTAGGGGTGCTCGTACGAACGTACTGTACATGTTCTGAACGTTAGTTCTGATATTGACGTAATGTACGTAGGTTCATACGTTCTGAACACCTCGGCAGTGTCAAAAGCTGCCAATACCAACCTCAGATCTCTTGTAAGCAATAGCCATAACACCATGCCGCCGTCAAAGTCGTTCGCCGCTCGCCAGCTCAGCGGTTCAGTCGATGAGGAGAACAAGCCATGCTACCGATGTAGCTGGTGCGTCGTCTATACCATCGTTAGCCATCAAGCCAAGCGCAAATAAGCTCATCTTACTAGCTGTATACCCTTCCGTGAGCACTGCAAGGGCGTGCTCCAAGGTACCGATAATACCGTTTTTATAGAGCTACGCATGGCCATGCCAGAGGACTTTATACGAGGGTGCTGAGAGCTAGTAGATCATGAGCTGGAGGAGGAGCAGGAAGAGGAGGAGGAACACCGCCACGCTTCGTCAGTCGACAGAATCACTCGGCTAGAGCGGAAATTTGCAAGGGCCCTATATCGGTCTGGCATGCGGTTGAGCTCGTTCGACAACGACTGCTGGAAGGACTTCTCCAAGGACTCCGCGCAGTTCAAGCCTCCGCTGCGCGCTCGGCTCGCTAATAGTCTGCTGGATAGCGTGTATGAGGAGGTGGAGAAGGAGGTAGAAGACGTGATAGATACTCAAGGCCGCGGCAACTATACGCTCAACTTCATTAGTGACGAATCTGATGCGATGAATAAGGACCGTATTACTAACCTCTCGCTTAATACTAATGACGGCCAGTTCTTCCATATAACGACTGTCGCCACTGGATCTACAGATCACAGTGCAAGGCTCCTGTTTGAAGGTCTATTAGCTCGTATTGGAGAAGTGACGAAGCATAACTTACAGCGCTGGAATAACCTCTGTACAGATACCTGCGCAACTCAGAGGCGTGTTCATGAACTGGTTGCTCAGAATCCGATGACTCAGCACGTATCCAGCGTGCTCTTGGTCAGCTCGCCTTCTTCAACTCAGACACTGGCCAGAGAGTGCTCAACTTGATAAACGACGAAGGGTTCTGGCTACGCCTCGAACACCTCCACTCACTGCTAATACCTATCCACAACGCGCAGGTGGCCTCGGAGAGCGAGCGCTCGACGGTAGCAATGGTGATACCTCGCTGGAAGGACCTCCAAAGCGACATCAATGACATCGAACAACTACCTTTTAAGGCAGAGATCCTTCGACGACTGGATCAGCGCCTTGTCAAGCAAACGACTGGTATTCACTACGCCGCGTATGCTCTATAGGCGCCAGAGGCCTACAAGACCATGTCAACGCGCGAGTGGCAGTTAGCTGAGCAGTTCTTCGAAAACAGCATACCTTCTGCTCTCCATGACGAATTCTTGACTCATCTTAGCGAGTTTAGAGGCCGCAAGGGTCGCTTCGGCAGCGCCTTCCGTCAGAAGCGATCAAGCAGCTCAGATAGGTTCTGGAACTATGCGCAGCAGTATGCGCCTCTGCTCGCTGAACTAGCCGTGCGCCTTCTCAGTACACCAGCAAACTCGGTGCCAGCTGAGCGATCCTTCTCGAGCTTCAATTCCTACGCGCCTCTCAACTAGCCGAACCGATCTGTTGCTCTATATCTACATCAATTGCAGAGCTCTAGAGGCTCAAACATGGCTCGAGGCACAGAAACGAGAGCGGCTCAAACGAAGGCGTGAGATAGCGCTCTCAGAGGGCCAAGTTCGCAAGAAGCTACGCCTCGAGGTGCTCGAGGCGCTTACTACACCAACGACTCAAGCATCTGCGCCACGGAACGTTACTGCTGACGAGGCCATAGAGCGCCATATGGCCCTTATTGCTGCTCCGGAGCCAACTTACAACTATCTCGACGATGAGGACGACAACACGCTACGATGCTTCAACTCTCAGAGCCTTCCGAGCACCAGCTTCCAGAGCCAGAGTAACCTCTCTTCAACGCCATTACTGCCTTCTACGCCGCCGCCGTCGCTACCAGCCTTCTCTCAAGGCAAGCCAGCTTATCAAACACCGCTCCGAGCTCTACAGGCTAAACGGAAGAAGTCGAACGCGGAGGGAAGTCGAACGTCAATTTCAACACGACGACGAGGTTCGCCACGGTCGCATTCGACGACCAGCGACTCAGATTGATCATTTTTTCTGATGCGTACAGTTGTATATCACTTCTTCATACGTGAGCGAACAGATCGCAATGGGGGTGGTGTTTTGTTGTCGCGTTTCCACTCCTTCTGTTTCGCGACGATATCCTCTGCATCGACTAATTCACGACCTCGTTTTGGTGGTACCTTCTTGCGACCCTTCTTCTCTTGTAGAGCTATATGTTTGAACTCAAGGGTCTTATATTTAAGCTCCTGTTTGGCCAATTCGACGGTTTTATGACCTGAAAGCCTGAATGGCCTTCTCGGCGATCCACGTCGCCATGTCCAGTCTCTCATCTATAGAAGCGTTATTCTCCTTGTTTAGTTCGTATAGGTCCTTCTCAAGGGTCTCAGGATCGTATATACGAGGTTGTAGATCATCTAATCCAGATGGTGGTAGTAGACATGGGTTTTTGACGACGGCGGGCCGATCTTTCACGGATTGAGGGTTAAATGGAATAAGGCCAGCCTCTTTAAATGCCGATTCGAAGTTCGAGGGTCTAAACGTCTCTTTACGAGCCTCATAATATAGGCGACAGAAGTCCTTCTTCTTTGTTGAGTCGCCGTTGTTTAGTTCGCAAAGCTGGTATAGCTTATCCTTATATTTTCCTTCAATCGGTGAGAACATGATTAAATCGAGAGGTTGTAGAACATCGCTAGTATGAGGAGGTAGAGGAAGTATTATAATCCTTCTATCCTTACAGGTCTTCTCAAAAGTTGTAGATAGATGTGTTTCGTGTTGGTCAAATAGGAGAATCCTATACTGTGCTCCGCGGGGCCTTGTTTCGGGTATAAAAATCTCATTTAGCCACGCTAGAGCTACTTCGTCGTTTGTCCATGCGGTAGGGGTAGCTTTGTACTTATACGGAGGTGGTTCATCAGGTGTCTAGTCTATATTAACGTTCAAACCCTCAAAAATAATGAGAGGAGATACGCTAGTACCGCCGCCAGAGATGCACTCGACGATAGAGACCCATTCGCGTGTTTGAGAGTTCCTACACTTAGTTCTTTTGCGTGGCTTGCCCCAAGCATCAAAGGCAGCTCCTACGACCTTTCGTGGGTTGATCTTGCCTATACATAGGCCATATTCGTCCATATTGTGAATATTCGCGTCCAAAACCCGGAATTTGTCGCGAAACGACGAGAACATGTCGAACCATGCCAGTATGTTCTCTTCCGTGGCATTTCTAACTCGTACGGACTCATGGGGATCACCTAAGAGCGAGCCACACCTTGGGTATTTGTTGAAGAATTGGTATAGCCATTCGCGTCCAAGACCCGCGTTAGATCCAGATGCGCGTTGGATTTCAAGAGCCATCAAACGACAACGGGGTTGCGACGGCGGCTGATGTCTTGAGTCCAGATCCATTATCCATTCGGCCAACTCCTCCTCTTGTTCCTTGGTCAAACGGCGTTGAGAGACGTGAGCGGCTCGTCGTTCGAGTCGTCCATTCAATCGGCCGGCGATGGTTGCGCGTGGGATCCCGTACGTCTCACGAACGTACGTGTATGTCATTGATTCGTCTCGTATACCGGCCATGGCGATGGCCATGTCGGATTCGGTCCAATTGGGCATTGAGACGTCGTGTTGGTTGAGAAACGATGGAAACAAGTTGTACACAGCTGATCGAGAGATCAGAAGACGCGTTCGACTTCCCCGCGCGTTCGACTTCTTCCGTTTAGCCTGTACCTCAGCCATTCGGCAGCAGAGGCCGGAGCCAGCAGCTCAAGCAGAGTTATAGCTCGAACATCACTCCATAGCTGTATGGACCTCCTTATACGCAGCAGAACACTGATTTGGACGATATCAAGAACTACAGATTCTCAAATGCTATATAGAGCTCGAGTACAAAGTGCCTATCAGATCCTATCCGTTCCATCAACTGATGCCACACGGTTCCAGTCACCGGCCTTTTGGTTGTTAGCTGATAAGTTTGGTGCTTTAGAGCTCGTAAAGGTGGCAGGTCGTCTCGCCGTCACTCCGGCGAACTCAGTACCATCAGAGCGCTCTTTTTTGTAGCAATGAATTACACTCATAATACCTTCCGCACTAAGTTTTCGACACCGGTTACCTCGCAGCTCTGCAATACTTACATGAACTCGCGAGCACTCGATCGACGTAAGGCGCTTACCAGCAAGGACTGGAAACTTGCGCAGATCAAGAGGCGATCTGAGAGGTTTGCTGCCCGCAACAACCCTATCAAAGAGAGAGCTGTTCAAAACGAGGAAATCAGGCAGATCAATCGCGACGAGGTGGTTCATCTAGACGACCTTATTGACGAAGCCGCAGTCGTCATTCCAGCAGCTCACACCGCTTCTATCAAGCTTGAGTTCCCAGTCGATGACCTAGACCGTGTCGCCATGCCGCCTCCTCAACTGCCTCGGCAGCGACACTTTCCCCCGTGGGTTCCAATATAGATTATCTGTTTATATCAAGCCATTCCGTGAGAAGAGGTAATTTCGACAACATCGCCTCTGGGAGAGTGGATGGTTTTCAGGTCGATAGTGTTGAAGGTGAAGATTGCTAACGAATCAGGATCGCGGTCTCTCGTTGGCCTTGCTGATGAGATAGGCTTGGATGTGTATCCAAACTCAGGTTTACCAAGGTATGTTTGCGATTTGATGCCGACAAATAGTGCGATGGTAAGCTGCTTGATTGCAGGTGCGCAGCCTGCGAAGATGCCAAGAGCAATCTCAACGCAGCAGCAAAGAGTCGCCACACCCAGTCCCCCTTGATGTGTGTCAGAAGCTTCAGGCGAACCATATACCAAAGTGTACTTACAGACTCGATCATGCTTCGCGTTCCAGTAGGGTGTGAAAGGCAGTCGACAGAGTGTAGCAACTGATGCAAGCAAGCCCAAGCTGAGCAGCATCCATACCATGATCTTCTTCTTTCGTTGCATTCGGATGTTCCAGAGGATCATGGCCGGAATGATGACGCAGATCACATCGGAGATAAAAATGATGGTAGTCAAACCGTAGACCAAACTTTGGAGAACTGCACCACTGAAGCAGGATCCTTCTTTCGGGTATTCGGGAAAGTCGTAGAAATGTCGCCAATTGGTGCGATACGGTCGACAAACCGTCATCAAACCCACAAGACATGCTGCGGTCATGACCGTGGTGAAGATGATCATGATGTAGATAGCTTGTCGCATGCTTTTCGCCGTAGCGAATCTTAGAAGCGTCAAGCAAAGGCTGCACTTCAGGACTCCAAGTGTAGAAATGTAGAGGAGATCGAATAAGCTGAAGTGCTACAGACAAAGGTTAGCTGTCGGCGCGTAAGACAGTAGGGAAGCGTGCCTGCCATCGTCGCTGTTATGATTTGATTCGGGTCCAATCTGTAGTCTCTGACGCCGAGACCTTCAGAGACTGACAACAGAGCAAACGTCGCGCATGGAACGAATAGCAGCTATCAGTTTGTCAATATAGAACGCCGGTTGGTGTTGTGATTGACTTACCTCCGTCAACACCATCATCCAGTCATCCGACTGAAAGCAACGCCTCTTCCATCTTCCGACACTTCTCAGGACGACCGCGATTGAAGACAAGATCAGGCAACTCAAGATCGTGCGAAACAGCCAGAGGTTGACTGCTTGACGCATGCCGGCGGTGGTGCAAAGACGTGTAAGGAGAAAATCAACTTTCTCAGTCGGCCTTCATGACAGACGAAGGCAGGGAGGTATCTACCTGGCTGACGTATATATATGTGGTCGAGACCGTAATTCGCCGATGCCGTTGACAAAAGCGTTGGAAAAGCGAAAGACCTACAAAAACAGTCTCCGTTCAATGAAATGTTTGCGAGATGTATGCAAGATCTGATGCTTAACGACAACGACTCTGACCGGGCACATAATATCTGCTTCAAGAACCACAATCGGTTGACTCCGCTCCTGAACCCGCATACTTTCCAACAGCAGGCAGTATCTTGAACGCCAACAAAGACTTCCATGACACTCTGGCCAACAGCAAATCAAGAACACTGAAACAGACCATCGATATTCCGCCACGATTCGCCTAAGGCCTGGAACGTTCCAGCGGGGAGCTTCGTCCGCTTTTCGACCCCAGGAAGGCCGCAGGACGGGGACTTGAACGTCTGGAACTTGGCCAATCCGCGAGAGAGATATTGAGATGTTCGAACAAGACAGCTGCGAGCTAGTCACGTCATAGTGTATGATCGACTTTGGAGTTACCTCATCTGAGACCCATGGTTACGATCATGGCGGACTCGTGAAGGACTACGGCGTCGGTCAATGGGGTGGCAGGTGTCATGATTTGCTAGGCACTCGATGTGACCCTTATGTAAACACCATGCTCACCGGCGACTAGTACGACTATAATTGCCATGCTAATCTAACTAGATCTGACCGTGCATAACAGCCAGTCCGATGTCCACAGGATTATCAAAATCTTTCAAGTCACTGGTCTGAATGCCGAAGGCAAGTACTCCATGGAACCTAGCCCAGCCAAGAAGACAGACTATCTCAAATTTTGCACCTGGCAAGATATCCTGATGGCACTATCTGCATGTCCTGGCGGCGATCTGAGCGCATGGGGCTTGTGCGAAGGTGGTGCCGGTGAGGATGGCGAGAAGAGTGTGTTTTTCTGGCAAGAGGGCAGATGTCCTAACGGGTAGCAAGTTCCAATCGCCGGACACAGCCGTTTACACATCGTTATTATCGCCGGCATGATGTCGTGATGCCTATGCTTGGCATATTTTCGGCCGAAATTTAGAAAGCAGGTAAGTAGCGTTTGAAACAGTCGGCGTTGCGTTGAGTTGTTGGCTTCTCGTTGAGAAAACAGTGTACGGAAGGGCTGCTCAGCAGCACGTTGCCAACGACAAGATCAGCTCTTTGTCCTTTCCAGAACATTCATGACCATAATGTATCTGAATTTATGGCACTATTCAGCGTCAAATTCTCCGGGAGCCTGTGCAGTTGATCGAGCCAGAACGCGGCGTCATAATTGTTAACGTGTGGCATATCGTCCCAATCAGGTAAACCTGAGGGATCTTGGAGTGGTGGATATATAGCGTTGTTGATCATGAAGTCAGTGTTGATTGGTGCAGCAAGATATGAATCGATCAGAGAAGCTATCGTTGGCACATAGCCACTATCTCGGCTCGGTGTTGATTCTGTGCTCACAAGGTTTGGAAAGCGGAACATACTCTGGCAAAGAGAACTCTGCACTTTCTCGTACAAGCGCTTTACAATAGGAATTGCCGCTCGAGCGACTACGTTAGTGCTTTTTATGTTGATCAGAATCGACAAAGCTTGTTTCATTTTCTTTTCAATCAGCTGAGTTTGGCTTTTGCTTGGGTGGACATGAGCGATGGCAGCAAGCATGATCGCTGCATTAGCGGTATAGAAACCAAAGCCAAAGTAAGTGTAATGGTGTCGTCCTGAAAAGTTCATAAGAGCCTGTTGGTTATCGATGGAACCAATGGAGGCATTCATCGCAGCGATGCGGCTTTGCGGCTGTGCTGCGATGAAAGGCCGATGTAGCTCCATGATGATGAGGTTCAGCTGGCTCAGCGCCTCTTCTCGGTGTAGAGGAAGGTACGAGAAACTGGAGTCCAAATATGTTGCAGGCTTGTTTGGGTTAAAATATGGAGGTAATTCATTGAAGAGGTTGTTGAGCTCCTCATGGAAGGCCCATATCGAGTCATATTTCGCAGTGGGTTTGTCCAGGCCAAACTTTCGGGTCTCATGAACTTTCCTAGCAATTGCATAACGGATGAGAAGCAAAGAAAGAGGCGAAGGTGTGTGTTCGTCCTTAGGGATTGGTACGGTTTGAGATGGATTAACAGGAGATGGACAATCGAGAGGGAGGTTGACGTCACAGTCTTTTGCGTTGATGATGCGTGGTTGGCCTAAGTTCAGCGCGGTCCCTGTATCCCAGCAAAAGATGTTGATCCAGGTTCGTGTTGCGTACTCCTGGGACCAAAACTGCTCGAGATTCTTCAACGAGTCAGGATTCTTTGTAGCAAGCCGTGGCGCGCGGTGGAGGTTCAATTGTTGCGCTTGTCTAGACGCGATTAGAACCAATAAACAGATATTGCTGCTGGAGGAAAAGTGGTTGATTTACCTAACGCCGTCACTGATAGCATACCAACTTTCGACTCCACGGCCATTGTTCTTCAACCAGCTCGCTCTGAGCAAATCGTATTCGACGACCGTGATCGTGCCATCGTGTCGACCAAGTAGCAGCATCACCTCAGAGGCTACATAGTTATACCTCCGAGACATGTTGGCAGCCGCTCTTCCGTTAGTCGCATGGAGAATGCGAGCGATTTCTCGATCAGGCCGCATACATTGGAGGATGACAGCAAGTAGCTCGAAAGAGAATGCCACAAAGTACGGCGTATCCTTGTTGATGCTGGTCTGTTGCGAAGCGGGAGTCCCCACAACAGTCGTCCACTGCTCAAGCCGCTTGTCCATGTAGCATCTTTGACCGACGTTATAGCGCCAATGGACTTCATCAAAATAGTAATTGAATGCTTTCACCAGGACCCGGGGGTCTGGAAGCTGGGCGGCGAGGATCCAGAATTTGGAACATGGTATGTTCTGTTCGAGAAAGGCTTGGGGAGTGTCACATATATCGAAGGCTTTGTCATCTTCCAGCATCTGGTGAATGATGGTTAGAAGTGTTGAGGCGTGCGATAAGGCATTCTCGCACCCAATGAACACTGCATGCTCTAAGTCTGCCGATCCGTGTCCGTTACTTTTTATAGTGATTAAGATAAGAAATTCGAGTTGTCATCTCACGCGTACGAGCGTGCGTAGGAGGGAACCCCTGAGCCTCTTGTTCTGATATCCACTCAACAAGGAACTCCTGTTGTTAAGGAGACAGTCGTCGTTCGTGTGCGTGAGCGGCACGTCGATTTGTTGCGCCCTTGCGACACGCGCGCGGTGGCTCGTACGAAGAGGAATTCGTGACGATCGATAGATTCGAGGGCCAGTTATGTGTTGAGCTCGCATTGATCCATTGCGACGGCGTGATCGTGGTGTGGCTGTGGAATGAAGTAAGAGGGAATGAAATTGATAAGCGCGCAGCTTCGCAGCTGCTGGGGGTGCGAAGCTTAAGACAAATGAGCCATCAGGTTCCCCAAGCAAACAGAAACAACCTTTCGCACCACAATCACAAGACTTTTGGAAAACTCGAGAATACGCATGAATATTGGTACTGATTCAATCACCTTCTCTACTTACTCCCCTACTTACAGACTAAACGGGAGTAGCTGAACGCGTGGAGAAGTCAGTAGCCAATCCCACTGACAAAGATGAGGTTCGGGACGATCGCATGTCACAACGAGGTGTCTCTTTGCGAACCTCATAATATTGGTGGCAAAAGTCCTTCTTCTTACTAGGCTCGTCGTCGTTAAATTTGGTTTTTCATGCCTCCTACAAACTTGCGTGGATTGATCTTGCCAATACACAGGCTGTGTTGATCCATATTGTGAATGTTGCCATCTTGAACCCGGGCTTTATCGCGATGTTGTAAGAACAAGTCGAATTATGACTGGACGTTCTCTTCCGTAGCCTCATTGACTCGTAAAGCCTCAAGGGGATCACCTTCCAAGGAGCCATACTGTGGGTATCTCTTGAAGAGCTGGTATGGCCCCTCGCGCCCAAGGCCAGCGTCAGATCCAGACGCGCATTGAATTCTGAGGACCGTAAGACGGCAACGCTGATGCGAGGGAGGCTAATGCTTAGCATCCATATCGAGTATTCATTCACCTAACTCCTTCACTTGTGTATTGATTAGGCGACGTTCGGAGGGTTGTGCGCCACTCAATCGGCCGGATATCGTTCCCTTTGGAATGTGGTACGTGAGTTCGACGCCACGAAACGATATTGAGCCGTCGTCTAAGGCTGTGGTGGCCGTGGCCGTGGCCATGTCTCCCACGATTCATTTGAGCATTGCGACGTCTTGGTGAACGAGAAGCGAGCAATTAGATGTGTATACAGCTGAAGAAGAGAGAGAAGTGCGTTTGGCAACCCCATGTTTTCAGCTACACCCAGTCAGCCTGTACTCATGAAACGTCTTGCATGCCAAAGCAGGATGTGTCGTTACAGCAAAGATAACCCGACTATGGATTGCTTCTGCGGTTCTGCTCCAAGCCGATGGTCTTCTCATGCGAGCCCAACAGATTTGCTCCCATACCCAGACTGCCTTTGACAAAGAAGTTTGTTGCCTTCGGTCGACAGCAGCGGAACAACTCAAAATTTGGCCACGCAACTTTGATATATGCTTCTCTATGCACTACGAAAGAACTCTTCCCATAGTCTTGCTTTGCGACATCACATGGCGTCTTACGGAGAGACCTAATAATAAGCTGAGTCTGGAATCTTTTGCTACTTGGCCATTTTTATTATCTGACCGGCTGTGGACGCTATCGTGGTTGATCGATAACAATCTCAAATCTTTTGTGGCAATAGAGATGCGAAGGTACCTGCAAGAGTCTAGTTCATCTCCCCGTAGTCTATGAGCCAGACAATCATGTCAAGAAAGATGTCGTTCGAATGCTTCCGATTTTGTGGAACTGAATTGCTTAGGTCCGAGGACTTCCAAGAGCATTAGCCCTCTTGGCAACATAGCTTCGCTCGATATAAAAAGACTGAATGCATGATGGTCCAGAGTTAGAGTGTTTACTCACGATAAAGAAGCAGAAGGCCTGTACCAAGTCAGTCATCGAGTTGAAGAGTGAGACCGACCAGATAGTTTGCACGGTTCAGGCCATTGAAACAGTTACAGCCGTTGGATACCCTGCCGTTCTCGGCTCTCGTCGGTGATTACCTTCTACAGCTCACTCAGCTGCTCGCAGGCAATAACATCTCTTGCCGACGATAAACATTGTTGGAACAAAATAGTGCGGACGCTCACGAAGAGCAGTTTCCGACTGAAACATCCGATACTGGTCAGATCGGTCGAGAGGGAAAGGACAAGGTGAGTGCCAGGGAAGATCGTGGAGAAATGACATCTTCTATCGATTCTTGTCGCGGGGTCAACTTGGCAACCCAGTCACGTTTTCCTCTGATCGCGAGGGGCTCATAACGACTTCGCTTGGGAACAGTACAGTACCGTTGCAGCGATATACTCTCTTGAATTAAGGTCTCGGACAAGGCACGGTCACTCTAGAGCGCACAATCAGAATTTCCTAGCTCTTCTCGCATGCTAGGCCAGTATGTCTAGGCGGAGGCTATATGCGTGAAACAATGATCGCTTCCCTCGAGGAGGATCTGGCAAGTGCCGAGAACCACCCAACCCCTTTTCTCGCGATTGAGTGAAACCAGTAGGTTGCCAAACTATATATTTGTACTAGCCCGTCACCCTACTCGACTTTAAGCTCATGATACATAGCTCCTGCTGTTTTCATCCAAGAAAAGTTATACCTTTATACTTATATCTTTATTATAGGTATTTATACTTAGTAAGGAAGTATAGTACGCTAACTAGGCTTTACGTAAATGATACCTATAGTTACGGCGCGCGGTAGCCTTTAAACGTCGTTAATCTTAAGGGCTCTATTAAAACTACTTTCTTCTTAATAAATATCTCTTATTTAATTTATCTATTCTAAAGTAGTAATAAATAAGTTATATAAGTCCTTCCCTTAATTTTAAAGAAGTGTTAGCCTTCTTTATAAGAGTAATTCCTTATATTATATTCTTTATTATTAGTAGAATACTACTTAGAGGCAGTTTTAAAAAGTAGGTATTATATTATAGTTAGAGATATCTAATAATTCCTATCCTATTATATTCTTAACTTTACTCTTATATTTAAAGTCTACCTATTACTTTTATAGACTTAGTAGTAGCTTTTACTACGTTTTAATCTAGTTACTATTTATCCTTTTCTTTATTAATATTATAGTTTAGAGTTAGAAATAGGTAATAGTACGTAAATCTAGGACTAAGCTATATAATAAGATATAAATAAGGAGATAAAGAGGTAATAGTAAGAAGTTATAGTAAGAAGTTATAAAAGAAAGTAAGTAGTCTTAGTAATTTCGTATAAGTACTAGTTAAATAGCTAGCTAAGGTTAGAGTTACCCTAATAGCTAGGAAGTTAAGGTTACGCTTAGCTATATAGCTAACTGTAATATAACTCTCTTCTTTAAAGGTAAGCTTTTTAGAAACTTACTTAAAATAGGATAGTAAGAAGAAACGGGTAATAAGTAAAGATAAAGGTAAACTATAAAGATAAATAGAGGTATAACAAAATATGCAAAATATAAAATAAAACTAAACTTAAAATATAAAGGGTATATTACAATATAGTAGTTAGGGTGACAGATATAGTAAGAGGAAGTTAGGTGATGCGGAGAAGCTATAACATAAAGACTCCTATACTGTAACAGTAGTTACCGAACTTAATCATAACACACGTATTAGTTCCACCCCTTAATAACTATTCCCCCTATAGCTCTAGCTTCCGATTACTAGGCGACACTTTTTAACTGGTTATAAGCCTAGGTTCGTAAGAGCTCGGAGGAATACAAGCGGTATAAAACTTACACTAGGATCGCGCCCGACCCGAAACAGCAGCTATAAGTCACCCTCGCGTAAGAGGACCTATAGTTAGCCTACTCTAGTATCTTTAGTAGAAGACTGCTAAACCTAATAGTACTTAGACACTATTATAAGTCGATAGATAGACTTACCCTTAAACCTAACGATCGAACACGAAATAGACGACGCCGAAACATAAAGAGGTAGGCTAGTAGCTACTCTCACTAGAGAAAACTAGGAACTATAGTTCTAAAACATAAAGAGATAGCTATATAGTAAGGACTGCTAGAAAGTAATTAAGACACCTAAAAGTAAGCATAAAGCGGCGTTCACCAAAATCGACAATATAGCTTTATACTAGATTAATAAATGCATCTTAGAAGACGATTAGATGCGTTATATTAATACAGCTAATTTAAAGACACTTTAGGACTAATTATAAGCTAGATATAAGAAGACTCTACCTGTTTAGAGGAGACTACTTATAGAATCGTTCTACTCCTTCTAGAAGGACCTAAACTAGACGATATAAGATGTATAGCTATATCTTTAACAGCTAGGACGAAAGATTATAAGCTTAGACCTAACTAATGCTAATCTAGGTAAACCTAAAGCTAGGATTTAAAAGCTACTTATAAGCCTTTTAGAGGAGTACGACATAACTATAAACGCTATTAACGTATAAAGCCATCTAGATCTAGAAGACATTCTTACACTTTTAGAGAACTTTAAAGCGAAACTAAACTCGAAGATAACCTTATATACCTATCTTATAAGGAATAGATAAGGCCCTATTAAATGTCACCTTTATAAGAAGGATTACTTCGTTAAGGACTGCCTATCTCTTCTAGCTGCCTAACGAGCTATAAGAGATAATTAAAGATAGAAACGGTCCTCCTAATTATCCTACTAAGAACCTATAATCGCTATAAAAGACCTAGAAGCAGTAGTTACTAGGGTCTTTATATAAATTATAGAGGATAAGGCTAAGGTCTAAACTAAAGTTGTAAAAAAAGAGAGAGCCTATAAAGTAGAGGAAATCTCTACTATTTGCTCTATAACTTCGAAGTTACCTACTGCTATCTTATTTAATAATTAAGTATCTTATAAAGTCGCCTACCTTTTAAAGGATGTTATAAGTAAGAACCCCTCCTAGTAGTATATAGACAGTTATACTAGTTTATATATAACTAATAAGAGCAACTATTTTAGAGGACCATTAATTTAAATTAGGAGGAGGTACATTTAAGTTAGAGGTAGGATCCTATACTCGGACTCTATAGGGATAGCTATACTAGCTAACTATATAGGAAGGGAGTTAGAGTTATAATAGACACTATTCGTACTAGGGCTTAGTATATACCTATTATTAGTAAGAAACCTCTATCTCTAAAAGAGGCTAAATAGAAGGTTTAACTCTAACTCTATAATAATAGTAGATAATAGTAGCAATATAGTAGTATATAGTAAAATATAGTATAGAGTATAT